TAGCTGGAGTATGATGAGCAAAAGGGCAGGCATTGCCCAGGTGCTTGCTAAAATGAGCCTCAAATTCCTAGTAGTAAAGAAAAAGGTGATAAAACAACAAGATTATATGGTTGCTTTATCCTTAAGATGGCACTATAAACTCACAATTCCTTTGAAGAGGAAGAATACATAAAAATAACTGTCCAAAAATTTCACTCAAACCTTATAATATAAAAGTGAGTGGCTTTTGTGTGTCAGACACTAAGTGCTCAAGTGTATTATTTTCATTTAATCTTTATAGAAACCTTAAGAAGTAGGACAAGTATTTGCCCTATTTTGCAGACTAGGAATAGGAGTCAGAGAGGGTGTAAGAGACTTGTCCTCCGTCACAAAGCCTGTAAGTGGCAAAGCCAGGATTTAAACTGAGGCAGCCTGAATCGGGAAACTGTGCATTTAGTCACTATGCTGTTATCACCTCTTTACCGTAATCCCCATGTTCAAAATGCAACATTAGAATGGTTAGTTATGAAAACTTTTTTTCCCCCCCGTAGTTCTGGTTAAGTTGCACCAGAAAACATGTCCCCTGACTGGGAATAAGTCAGAGTTTATGTCTTAGCCCTCAGAGAGTAACAGAAGACATCCTGGCACCTTGGTTCCCACTGCTCTGCCCAGACTGCCGCCAGGAGGCCTGCCCTACCCTCCCTGGTCAGATGTCCCGCCTAAGCCCTCCCATAGCATTCCAAGCATGTGACCTCATGGTACTTAGCACTCAGAATTGTGCTGACAGGCTTAGATGACAGGCTTAGATGTTCTGTTTTCCTCACTAACCTGTGAGCATGTTTGTAACCCCCCACACTGTGTATAATGCCTGGAGCACCAATTTCTCAACAAATCTTTGCTGAACCTTTTCTTCTTCCACATTAACCCAGACCTTGCATCAGAGCCACTATTTCTTCAGTATCCTCTTTTTCACTCCCTTCTATACATAAACAATCTCCAACCCAGACAGCAAATTATAGGAGAGAAGGCAGTTTGTGTGAAAAAATAGTTTCTGTGTGAAACACTTGTGTGTTTAGGTGAGGACTGGAGTAAAGGCAAACACTGGGTTGAACTTAAATTGTTAGGCAGGACCTGTTAGTTAGTGTGCCTTCCCCAGGGGCATTTCTAAAGCTGAAAAAACTATACTGTGCTTCCTATCCTTCCATATTGTCATCCAGGTGAAATGTAGTTGAAATGAATGCCAAAGGCAACCTGGAAAAAGAAGAGAAGCATCCAAAAAGCAAATCCTGCAAAAGGAGCACTAGTGAGGGAGGGTAAATGAACCTGCTCACCTTCCACCTCCTCACTTCTTTTATGTGAACTTCAGGTTGTTTCTCAGCAACAGCTGGTAATAATCACCTCCTTCCTTTACTTTGAACCCAGGTTGAAACCTAAGCCCTACACTAGCTGCTGCACTTGAACAGATTCAGTTTCTCTATTTATAAAATGAAAATATCAGTAGACCTACTTCATGGGTTGTTAACAGGATCGAATGAGCACATTCATGTAAAGTTCTGTGAACAAGGTGTGAAAATAGGAAGTATTCAATAAATGTTAGCTATGGTTATTACTATGGATTTATGTAATCCATGAGCAAGGAGGCTGGTGAATGACTTCATTCATTCACCACGTGTTATAAACCCCTTACTAGGCACTAGATACTACGTCCTAGAGTCACAATCTTTGTTTCTTTAGTCAGTAGATAAGCTCTGGCCAGGTATTATACTTTGAGGAAATTGCAGTGTCTAGCATGCTGTTGAATTGGTCAACATCTTGATATCATCTTTCCCCAAGGTTTCAACTGTAATTAGGGATTTCCCTGCTACGGATAATTAATCATCATGAATAGAAAGGATTTGATTCATAAAACTTTGCTTTACTATAAAAGTTTATTTTCTCCATAACCCTCAGGATGTTTATTTTGTATAGTTGAGTGTTTTTTGTTTTCTAAGTAATGTGGCGTTTGGGGGGGTATAATGCTTTTTATAGATTTATGGGTTGTGACATTCTCGAGTGGGAAAACCTCCCAACTCCATCAGAACGATGGGTTTTTGGCCACACAAAACAGGAAGAGTTATGGGGTTGGGGGTCAGAGAGAACTGACTCTAAGTGTTTCCACTTACAACTGTGAAATCTTAAGTAACTTTTCACTCTTCTGAGCCTTGGTTTCCTTATGTCTGAATAGGGATAATAATATTTCCATCTTGGAGGATGTTCAAAGGGTTAAATTCATGCATACATTCATTCATTTATGCAAGTATTTATTTATTTATTTATTTATTTACTTACTTACTTACTTACTTATCTGTTTTTAAGGATAGCACAGTTCACAGTGGCCCATGTGGAGATCGAACCGGCAGCCTTGGTGTTATCAGCACCACACTCTAACCAACTGAGTTAACTGACCACCCCACAAGTATTAATTTTTGAGAACCTACTATATACCAGACATTCTTCTGGGTACTGAGACTACGAAAGTAAACAAAACAGGAATTCTAATAAGATAAAATTTGGGGGGAAATTGAGATTGTTTGTATGAAATAAAACACTTTAACATTATTTATTCCATTAATATATGCAGTACTTATGTCACTAGTAGAAGGCTTAAGAAGCATTTAGCTGCAGCAGAGTAGAGATTCAAATTAGAAATTCAGTTAAGTAGTAAACATATTCTGATAAATAAAAATAATGTAGAAATGAGATAATTGCTAGTAAAAATATTTGCAAATTACTTTTTATTATGTAATCTGATAATTTCATGATAGCTCTTTGGGTATACAAACATGTATATACAACTTTCTAAACATGTAAATAAAAAGCAGTAGTTTAGTATATCTGCTGGAATTCATATTACTGAAAACCTTATCAAATCATTTATTATAAAAATCAGTAAAATTCTTTAACACATTCTGAAAATTTTGGGCTGTGTGTACATAAACATTTTCAAGCTTGCTTTACAGAAAAAGAGTGCCATTTCTATCCATGTGTTCATAGCGACTTTCAAAAGTAGTTCAAAGGGGGAAGAAAAATGGTAGCAATGCCTTGAAATACAGCATTAATTAATACTGACTTATGCTGGGACATCCATGAAAGATCCTTTGTTATCACATGTAGTAAAAACATTAAAAATCAATACTATTTCTATGACTAAAACATAGAAAATAAGACTTTATTTTCTTAGACTACCTTGTTATCATGAAAAACTGCATTCATTCTGCAGATATTACTGACACCTCACATTATTTCTTTAAAAATATTTACGATATTTGAAATTCAAAAGGAAACCCACAAGACATTCTCCTCCCAATACATTCATTGAATGCAGATTTAAGTGAGCACATCTCATTTTGATTGTGCCCTTTATTTGCATACTTTAAAAATGACTACAATATAGTACATTTGTATTTTTAACTGGTACCAAAATTAAGATGAACGATCTATGCAAAACCAGTGGCCTGTATTTCTAGTAACAGTTGTCATAGGCAAAAAGAAAAAAAAAGCCCTGAGTCAGTGTTTTTTTTTGCAAAAGTAATGAAGATAGTGCTCTGAAATCATTTTATAACTTATGAAGTAGTTAATACTGTCCAGTATTCATTTGTTTTCTTTCCATTTTGATTGACGAGAGGTATGGCTTTTGTTTAGTTAATCCAATTGAGCTCATTTCTTAATACTCAACTTCATTTAAATCCTCAGAATATCCTGATGATTGCTGAGTTACATCTTCCATATCTGTCAGAAGAAAAACAGACAATAATAGTTTTCTTTTTTAATTGTAGAAAAATACTTAATTTGCATTCTTATGATTTGAGACTATTGCAAAATCCCTCTTCAATCAAGCTTATACTATTGGAAAAAATACTGTTACCTGCACAGGATCCTGCTTGAAATTTAATATCATCAATGGCAATATCGCTTCTTATTGATACTCCCCGCATGGCTTCAAAAATTATCTGAAAAATAATGAAGTTTGAATTTAGAAATAGAGTCATCCTGATAAAACAATGCTGGTCAGGGGCAGATCCAGGCTGTGTGAGTCTGGAAGCTTTGATTATTTTGAGGGCCCCCTTTAAGGAAAAGAATACAACATCACAAATTTAAATTTAGGTACAAAAGAGAGTACTTATTTGGAATTCAAAGAAATTCACAACAAATTACTGGAGCCTTGGAGATTCAGGTCCTTTTCTTCTGAGACTTCTTTAGACAATTTCCCAGAAATGCTCACCTTGAAATGCTTCCTGGTGGCCATCTGGTTTCCCTTCCTCATCTAGAACATTCTATAATACTCCCAGCACTCACAGGGCCTATGAAAACGATGGGTCCAAAAGCTTAAGCCCTCTTAGGCTCTCCATAAATCTACCTTTGATGCTGATACTAGGTGGAAGAATTTAATATCATTGTTAAAACCCATGTATGAACAGCAAAGTATAATTAAAGTTACCAAAAGTTCAATGGTTCACTCATCATGTTAAATAACATAATTAATATTCAAGAAAGCTCAGGAAGAAGAGGGAACCACTTTCATGGCTTTAGATCCTTAAAAGAAAGTAACTAATCAAATATTCCGGTTCTAGGGTAAATAGATTACATTACAATTTCTATGGCTGCTCCCCAAATGGTTAATAAAACACTGAATACTCCAGGGGGATTGTTGGTAATAAAACGGGTCCAGAAAACACATTTGCTCTACTCATTTTATGAGCAAATAACTCCCCATAAGACTGGTTTATGATTTAAAGTAAATCAAAGACTATAAAGTGGAAAATTAATAAACATATGAAGCTATCTTGAAATTAATGACTCAAAGATGCTTTATTGACAGAAATGTGGCAAAATAACATTAATAAAATCCTAAGGACACAACCCTAAACAAGAATCCCATCAGTGACAAGAAGAGGAAAAAAATGCCCTAACAGATCTAGATAGGAATACAGTTAAAAAGCATGTTGGTTTTCTAAAAAATAACAAAATCTGTTTTTTGACCACCAAGTCTGCAATGTAAAGTATAACAGACAAATTACCTGATGGAATTACATTCTTAATAGTCTGTGGTTGGGCCAAACACTTGATTTCATAAAATCTTCTCCTTTGAATTTCCTTAATACTTAAGTGATATAGCATTATGCTTTTCCTCTTGTATTACAGATATACATCCTATTAGTAAATAATTGTGGTTGTTTAAAACTAAGATAAAATATTTTTTTCTTGTAATTTAAGTGTGTTATTTTTTCAAATGGTTACTAAGTAATTAGGACATAAATACTTGTTAAGTTGTTTGGACCCAACTACTTAATAAATGGAACTGTTAGGTATTTCTTTTGGTCTAGGGGCACCAGAAAAAATTTACTGAAACTAAGTGCACCATGAACAAGAAAATTTGGAGATCTAGCCTTAGCTGAGTACCTGGCACATAATAATTCCTAGTAAATGTTAGGCAGTATGATGAACATAAATGATGTAAATATTTCAGTGAGCTGAGAATTTGTCTAACATTTTCTTTCACTGGTGTCAAAATATTAGAAACCAGGAAGGAAAACATCTGAGAGCAGGGAAGGAAAGATAAGCAAGGAATTGAAAGGACATGAAATCATTTTGTTTTTGATCAATAGCATCTCAGGTTCTGCTTAACATTTTAACAAATCCCTTAGGAAGGAGCATAATTAAAATTTTGCCACTTGTTAACACTTCTTCTACAAGGATAATCTGATGATGGGAATGTCATCGGAAGGCCACCCACATAATTTTTTCTAGAGGATGAGTCTCAAATGTCAGCAATATGACAGAATTCTAAAAATCATCTACACCTGCCTAACCCACTGACGATGTGCATTTCTCTAGCTCTGTTTTTCTCCCTGAACTCCAATCTCATATCCTACTGTACACTTGACATACCCACTGATGCCTAACAGACTTCAAAAACTTTGCATGTCAAAAAAAAACAAAAACAAAAAAAGAAACCCTGTTAATTTTCCTCTTGCATGCACTGAACTCACTCTTCTACACTGTTCCACCCAAAGTCTTCCTCCTCTTAATAAATGGCAACTCCATCCTAACAGTTGCTCAGGCCAAGAAATTTGGAGTCATCTTGGCTCCACTCTCTCAAACGCCATATTCCATATGTGAGAAAGTCCTGCAGGCTTCTGCTGACCTCTCACCTCTGCTACACAGCCCACACCACCACTCCTCTTCCAGAGCGACTGCAGTAGTCCCCCAAATCTCCCTGTCCCCATACAGTCTCTGTGTAGTAGCTGGAGAGGTCCTTTTAAAATATAAAGCGGATCATATTACCTTAAAGCCATTTGATGATTCCTTATTGCTTTTGGAATAAATTTCGATTTCGAACTCTTCCATGTTATCCAAGGCCTTTCATGATTATGCCTTGAGATGTCTTTGACCTCATTCATTACCTGATCTGTTTGACTTATTCCTTTTCATAGCACTTATTATCACCTGATGCTACCTTATATGTTTTAGGTTTACATTCTCTGCCTCTCCCCCACTAGAATGTAAACTTCTGAAGAGTGGGAACTTCATATGTTATGTTGCTCATTGTAGTATCCCCAGTACTTAGAATAGCAAGTGGCCAATAAATATTTATTAAAATGGAATATTTTGGCTTCTTACTATAGGAGCTCAATCTGGATGCCTGATATAACTATTGGGAATACCACGTGTGCCACGGTGACATGAATTAGAGACTAGAGAGATTTGGGAGGGAATATATTTTTAGAGGCAATAATAATAATATCTTTTAATATGTTGATGCTTCAAAGTTTATAAAACCCCTTCATATACATAATCTCATCTGACCTCACTCTAAATGTCAGCATGGCAGGAATTATTGCCCCATTTTGAAAATGTATAAACAATCCCACAGATGATGAGATTTCCCCCAAGGTCACCCAGGGCTTGTGACATCCAGGGGAAGGAGTGTATTTTGGAATTTCTATGGTGGGAGGGAGTGTAGAGCAGTAGCTTAAAGATATAAACTCTGGAACCAGTCAGATCTAAGATTAAATTTTCACTCTGCTGCTTACCAGCTGGACATCTAGTTTCCCCCGCCCGTAATGAGGAACTATAAGATCAACTGGAAGAACTTATGTACAGCTCTTAGCAATGTAAGTGCCTGGCATGAGAAAATGGCTGAAGTCTGTGTTTTATTAACACTAAGATGTTTTAAAGACACTAGTTCAACCCGGTCTCCAGATAGCCGTTTGGGATTCCTCAGGGAATTACTAAACCCAGAAGAAAACTCCTCAGGGCAGATTCACATCTGTTCCACTCTAAGTCCAAGGGAATGGTCTGGGGTCTTCTTTCCAGATTGTGAGCTGAAAATCTCTCAGGCCATTCTGTACCCTTTGAACTGGTAACACCCCAAGATGTTACTCTAGGTGCCTCAAAAAACAACCAGCCACCTGCAAGTCTAGTAGATACAAGGCCCTGTACCCGACCACCTGGCTTGGATGCTGAGGAGCCACCTATTCCTCAGAACTCTGATCCTAGAACTCTTGTGTATCAGCATCATTTGGGGGTTTTAAAAAACATCTATACTCAGGCTCCACCTGAGAGACTCAGATTCACTTAGTCTAGAACAGAGAGCCTCCATCTTTAGCATGTATCAGAAACACTAGGAGGGCTTGTTAAGACACAGATTTCTGGGCCCCATTCCAAGAGTTTCTGGTTCAGTAGTTCTGAGGTGCGGCCTGAGAATGTGCATTTCAAGTGAATTTCATTTTAAGTGAATTTGCATTTAAGGTGTTGCTGCTGGTCTCAGAACCAACTTTGAGAATATGTGAATAGGGTATGGTGCCCTAATAGCATAACAAAATTAATCCATCATCTCTGAATGATGATCAATTATATTAGTAAGTTTTTGAGAGATCCACTTTTCTCCTGTAAACAGATATTAAATCACTAGCAAAATCATTCCTGGGGCTACCTGTTATCCTTTACTAAATTTCTAGACAGATTTATCCATGCTGAGATAATGGACCATCCCTGGATAATGCCACATCTCCCCTGTCATTTGTTCTTTGGCAAGGTAGCACCCTACATGGCACCGCAACCTAGGGCTGCCTGAGCTACAAGGCCTTCCCATTCACACGCAGATCTGTAGAAAATTAATTGTGGTTGTGGGTGGTTTAAAATAAAGTTCTTATTTTTAATACCTCTTCCCAGAAATATTTGGGCTTAGACCAAGCAGCCTATGGTTAAAGCTGAGGGGTATTGGTCCAGGGGGTGCATCAGCCAGGAGCAAGGATGAGGAGGAAGTAGGGCTTTTAGTTGAAGGTCACACCTGAGAATTCCTCAGAGCAAGTTCAGGAACAGTCAAGGGTCTGAAAGTGATCTCCCCAGAGCTTTCTGGAGCTTTGGCTCATGGTAGACGGTGAAGTCAGTGGCTGTCAGGAGGCTGCTGCTGATCTTGACGTTAGATTGCCCGCTCAGCCCCATCTATTGGAATGTAAAAGGCTCTTTCCTGTCACTGCCTGGATTCCTTTATAATCGAGATCCTGTAGGATGAAGGTCTTCTACAGCACATGAGAAGACCCAGAAGGAGGCCCAGGACTTAGGATCAAGACTCTCAGTTTCTTGCACATCAGTGTGGACAGAGGCTGAAAAATCTACCCTGCACCATGTACTCTAGTAAGTATAGGCTTACAACAAAAGCCCTTGTATGGGGTAATGATGAGCGAATGATGCAGCTGCAATAACTAATTAGGTAATACCATGTTTAGAAGAAAGGGAGACTCTGTTTTAGAGATTTGCAGGACACATAGAATGTACTTGACACTCATAATATACCAAGACGAAAATAGATACACTTTTATCATTGAGCTGCGAAAATCATTTTATGCATAAACATCCAAGGCTTTCTCTTCTCGCCTAATTTCCCATTCACTGCGTAGATTTAATCAATATAGTCTAATTATGTTTACTCTTAAACAAGTACTGCCTTTATCTATCACCCTGAAAAAGAACAAAACATTCTCTCTGGTAACAAGAAAAAGCAAGAACATCAGAAGCTGGTAGGAACGTTTTCCATTACTTGATTCTTATCTCTTTTGGCTTACCTGGTGTTGCCTCTCACTGCTGTATTCAACCAGGGCTCGGAGCCAGGAAATGCTCTGTTCACCTTTTCTTCTCCATAAGAGGGACCCTTTACTGTTGCCTTCTTTTTTCAAGTAAACACTCAGCAGGCCAGTCCCTGCTCCATACATGTGGTAGAAAAAGGTCAAGCAGTGTTTTCCCGTGACACCTCGCAGGGGACCAGACAAGAGGTGTGCTTTTTGTCCATAAACCATATGGGAGGCCTCGATATACATGTAGTAGCCTTGAGAGCAATGCAAAATCAGGTATTGTTAAAAAGGACACAAAGTATATTCTCTTCTTTCTCTTTTAAGTAGTGTTCCTGGAAACAAATTAAGAGTAAATGGAGGACTGTATGACAATACTGACAAATTAGAGTGAATGGAGCACACGTATGATCTTAAGAGAATAAATTTGCCATGAAATTTAGACCATCAGAATAATGTTCTTCATTTTATAATTTATAATTCAGTTTAATATACAGGACATAACTAATATACGAGTATTATGCCACTAGTGTTATGGTGATTAACACATCAGAATTTATCCTACTAATTCACGGACAACATCCTGGAGCTTCCGGACACTGGTTTAGGGGACAGGGCATGAATTTTGTAGTCAGGTAGATCTGGGTTCAAGTCTTTGCTTTAATATTTGTTGTCTGTGTGATCATGGTTTAATGAATTATCCTCTCTGAACCTATATTCATCATTTAAAAATAAGGGTTAATAGTACCCGTGCTGCTGAGTTGTGAGAGATAAATACCATGTGTAACATATGCCCACATGTAGGACATATTCAAATATTAGTTTCTTGTCCTGCTCTCTTACCTGAGTTTACTTGTGATACTTCTTTTAGTCTTGAAAACATATTTATATAATATTTAATATAATTATATTGGTATTTTATATATTATAGTATATATCATACACTATGTAATATATATATTAATTATATAACACATTATATTTCCATTTTCCTTTCCTAATTTTAGTTTGTGTTTTAATTTGCTGGTTTCAGGCTGAAGCAGGATTAGTCGGCATGTAAATAGCATTGTGCCTATTTTGTGCTGAGATAGTTCCTGGTTTACGTCACTGCTATGCCCCCAGGTCCTACAACTGTCCCTGGAACATAGTAGATGCTCAAAAAATATTTGTTGAATGAACAAATGACTGAATTTTCTTCCATAGCTCTAAGCCACAACAACTGGGACTATTTCCAGAGCACATGGTTCTACCAAGGTCATTCCTGTTGTGTGAGGGTCTTGACAATGAGACATGAACTTGACTAGGATGCTCCAAGGCACAACTAGAACAAATCCAAGTGTTGGTAAAATTAAAGTTTTATCAAAGCAAATGTTCTCTAACTAGTTCCATACCATCCGATGTATTTTTTTAAACCAATCTCACATAAAATAATTCTTTCACTTCATTACCTTCATTCTTTCACTGGCAAGA